GACAGAGTTGAGCTGCGCAGGCTTCCTACAGACAGAGTTGAGCTGCGCAGGCTTCCTACAGACAGAGTTGAGCTGCGCAGGCTTCCTACAGACAGGCGTTTTGTTTGTTATTAGTACAGTCACTTAGAGGCTTTTATGGTTGTTCGTTTTGTTCACTTCTTGCACAGTTTAGCTTTCTACATACTTTTACTTTCAACTTATTTGGGTCTTTGACTCTAACATGCCAGCACTGATCTGTTGTACCGTGAATAACCGCTACGAAGGCGATGATATGCAGTGTATTAATTATTCTAACTGTCCTACTAACCTGTTTTGAAACTGTCTCATTGCTATTTCTTTCGCAAAATTAATTAAAAATATAGTTGATCAAATTTATAACTATTCATTCAGTTGATATCTGCCTTTCAATGGGTATATTTATTTAATTTATATTTGATGCAAATACCAAGAAGGTAGTATTTACATGTGCATTTTTCTCTATTGTTTTAAAAAATTTTCTTTGATTGTGTCTTTCCTTGAACTCTAAGGTGTTTGCCTGTGTCCAATAACTTCCCAGCTGGTTGATCTTCCTTTTTAGGAATTACTGTTTTAGGTGCTCAGGAGCTCACAGCTGAAGGGCGGTGCAGAGCTGACCCGTGTGCCCCGACCTTACACACGCATGCCCTCTCCTACTGTCTATACTGTGCACCAGAGCGTGCATTTCGTAATATGGGTGAACCCTCCTGGGCGTATCATCACTGAGAGCGCACAGCTTACCCAGGCTCACTCTGAGCACTGTGCACTCTGTGGAAAATGTCTAATGGGTGTTTCCGAGTGTGTGACGGCGTGTGTCCACCACAAGGTCAAACACAGGTGAGCCTTTCTGCCCTGCACATGCTGCACATTCCACCTGCTTACCCCTCGCTCTTCCCAGCTGTTGGCAACCACCAATCTTTTTGGTATAGCCATAGTTTTGGACTTTCAAAATGCACTAGAGTTGATATTATACAGTGCTGCTCTTTGCAAGTTGATTTCTTTTACGTAGAAATAAGCCTGTGAGCGTGTCTTCTCATACTTGGTAGCTCCTTTCTCTAGTGGTCAGTGATACTCTACTCCTGGACACACCCCGGCTCATTCTTCTACTCACAGGCATTTTGCTTGCTTCAGATATTTGACAATTCAAGCTCCTCTACACACCCATGAGCAACTTTTCGCATGGACGTAAGTTTTCAACTCCTTTGAGTTAAATATGAAGGAGCATGATTAATGGATCGCATGACAAGGGCGTGTTTAATTTTGTAAGAAATGCTACAGCGTGTCTTCCAAAGTGACCGCAACACTTTGCGGCCTTTTGTACCCTCCTGCGGCATCCCCCTAGCACTGAATGGTAGTTCTTCTCCCCCCCGCCCTCCGCATTCTCACTAGCAGTGTATACGGGGCTCTCGCTGCCGTCTTAATTTTCATTTTCTGGATGACATGGGATTGGCACGTTGGTTCATGTGTTTATTGGCTTATTTGGCGTATCTTCCTTAGTAGATCGTCTGTCAGTCTTCTGCTCCATTGTTTTATCAGGCAGGTTCCTGGTGGGAGGACCCGTCTCTACCCTGTTTGCTTCTCTCCACCCTACAGCTGAGCCGGCGTCGGGGCCATCAGGGACCCACTATCCTCAGGATGGAATTCCCTGGGGAAAGCCTGCACGCTGTGAGGGTAGCCGGAAGGGCAGAGGGCCCGATTCCCCGGCGTAGCGCTCCCGAGTCAGGCTGTGCAGCGTCGATGCTGCTGGCCTCTACCTCCCAGGACACCGTAGTTCAGAGGCTTTTCTTTTTTAAAATAATATTTTCTCGCTCCCCCTTGTTTCTTTAAAAACCAATTACAGTTGTTTTGCTGCGGAAGTAGGTTGCAGAGTTCCTCCTGTGGCCATTTCCAAGTCAAGTTCTTTACATTTCTTCTTATTTGTTTCTTTGTTTTTCCGTCTAAGGTCAATGTTTGATGATTTCCAAACGCTAGTAATAATTCCAAAGCAACACGGATTACTTCAGCAGCTGTGTTTTCCTTGAGGGGTATTTCAAAGTTCATTTATCCTATTCTAACATAAAAGAAAGAGCTCCACAGCAGACAAGAGCCAATCAGCTCAGCCTTTAAAATTGGAACGTCTCAAATGGACCATTTCAAAAGCACAATAATGTTTCTAGCACTTTTCTTCCTGTCTGTGGGTGTTTATATACATTATCTGGGTAACTCCGCCTAATGTGCATTGCGCTTTCATCTCTCTCTGGTGGCACCTCGCACTCCCCAGTTGGCAGGGTCCTGGCTGCCTGCGCCAAGGGCCGGCTAGGCCCCTGGGCCGGCCACGCTAGCTCCCTGCCTGCTCTGCCCCGCCACCGCCTGCCGCTGGGACGGCTGCGTCAGGGTCGGGCTGGTTCTTTGGGAAGAGATGGACGGTGCTTATGTTCTCGGGTATCTGATTTATTTCTAGGTCACTTTAGGCTTCCTTCCGAGTTCTTGTTTTTTTCTTCTGTGTACAGATATCTTCTTTATGCCTCATTTAATTCCTTCCAGTTGCTTCTTAACGTTCTTCTCTTCTGTCTGTCCTAACCTAGGCAATTAGAGCGGCCGGAGTGGGCATACTGACCTGGTGGCCCCGACCTGAGGAGGGCTGGCTCTGTCTCGGTTTCTCCTCATTATACTCGTTACTTCCCGGCAGAACCCTAGGGATGCCGGTCTGGCGGCGTCCGCAGGCGAGCTCTGCGGTGGGCCGCGTGTCCCTTGTTTGCTGTCTGTGTGCAGCCAGGCAGACCCACGGAGCCCTGATTGTCTTCATCGTCGGAACCCAGAGTATAATTTTGTAAAATTTAGTGATATTGATTAAAGAAACACTTGCACCTATTCTAGGAATATAGTTTCCCCAGAAAAAAGAGATATTAATTTTGTTTGTGCCTGAAATTAACGCCACCAAGACCAGCCGGCAGCGTTTCTGCTTTTAGATAATTACAGAAAATTCTGAAGAGGGGTTGGCTTGG